CGCGAAATTCAAAAACAAACAAACATCGGTTGACAAAATTCGTCACGTGATTGAATTGACCTCTCAGTTTGAACGGATTGTAGTTTTATCGTTTTCATTAAAAACTATATGTAGCTAACGAGTGATCTTGAAAAAAATCTTTGAAGTTGTTTAAAACGCTATTATCCGTATTATTCGTACGTTGATTTGCCATGATTTTAGTTTTTTATTTTGTAATTTTCCAAATTGATAAACGTTCAAAGTGTTTATGCTTGTAAATAGTTCGTATAATCGCTAAAACTAATGTATTTCCCATATTGCCAACACACAATGACAAATACATTGTTAACTACATTAATCCTTTGAATAAATTCATTCTTCTTTATAGTTTAACTGTGCATTGGGTCCTTTCAAATAAAGCTTTACAAAATTCTTAGCTCAATCCCACAGCAGCCAATAAGAATAGATCAATTTGACGTTACAGTGTCTCTTAAGTTTAAATTACCTACAGTTGTTTAAAACAAACAAAATTAACATTTTAAGCTCTTCTTGCCAAGACTGTCTTTTAATTTCTATGAGATGTGATTTACAGGCTATTCATAGCAGATTGCATCAATATATATTGATGTTTAAAAAACACCGTAAAATAAGAAACTTGCCTTACGAACCATGTCATAGCTAAGCCTTTATTTTTCACAGTTATGATGAAACAAGAAAATGTCTCTATAAAGTTTACAAGGATAAAATGTATATTTAATCTTAGTAGCTAATATGTAGTATAATAATAGCTCTTTGAATTTGCTGGTAAGTGCACGTATTTCATGTTTCTGACGAAACTCAAGTACTCTTGTCTGTTTTCTCCCACAAAACAAACGTGCGTATCTTAGTGTTACATTTGTTAGCGTAAAGTTTGTTTCAAGATAATTTAAATCTAAACATAACCCATAAAACGTGAAAGAAAAGCCCAAGATTTTATGTTTAAATTTAGTTATCAGAGGTTCGTCTTAAAAACCATAAGTGTAGAATAGGCTTAAACCTTAAAGCTTGAGATAGGAGTCGTGTATCTTTCGTTCAATGCATTGTTTCCTCTTACGAAATAGAATTCATCTCAAAGGAGAAGGGTAAATATGGGATGAAACTAAGTAACATATGGAAAAAAACGTGTTTTAGACAAATTCGCATACGAATAAGTTTAACATAGTTCACGTTCATGTATTCTGACGTAAGGAAAAGATAAGTTACACATGTAGTCTCGAGTTTTCATGTATTCTGACGTAAGAAGATGAGGATAAGTTACGGAGGTAGTCTCAAGTTTTCATACAGTCTGCCGTAAGAAAATGATAAGGATAATTACACATGTAGTCTCAAGTCTTCTTGTATTCTGGCGTTAGAAAAATATAGGGATAAATTACATATGTAGTCTCGAGTCTTCATATATTCTGACGTAGGCAAGATATAAGGATAGCATATAAATTTTTATTTAGCTTTGAGCCAACGTGACATTAAGCACGAAAACAATTTTGTTAATCGATACAGTATGATCTAAAATTATGTCCTTCCAGACTTGTTAACTAAATTAACTAAAAAACTTTTTAAATATCATCTGTATGAGTTTAGTATATAAACAATGCATAAGTACACCACATAGTTTGGCAGATCAGAGGGTTTTGGCGCTGCAAATAAAATTCTATCCATACAGAGAGATTTAATCGTGAGTCAACTGTATGAGTGATATTATAGTGTAAAGTGAGATGTAATTTTTCATAAAGTTGCAGGTTGTATTTCGGTACCTGAATTTATCCATGTTGTGTTTTAGTACATGAATATATCCATGTTGTATTTCGGTATACCTGAATGTATACATGTTGTATTTCGGTACACCTGAATGTATACATGTTGTATTTCGGTATACCTGAATATATCCAGGTTGTGTTTCGGTAACTGATTATTACAACAATATTTGAAAGTTTCGATTTAATATTTATCAAAGTTATTTCTGACCACGTTAATTACACGTTAATTTTTGAGGAACCAAGTTTTCTGTATTCAAGAATGTGGTTCCGTATGTTTTGATTTTTTAGAGGGTTATGAACTTATTTACAATAAACGATAAAATAACATAAGAATAATATCTTATTATTTTCAAATAAACATTCACTTTTATGCAACAAAAATTCCCAAAGTGTTGACAAATAACCTGACATCATAACAACATATTTAAAAAATATAGCCGTGTAACCACTAACAAGTGTAAACAGCTTCAGTCACGAAAAGTTAAACATTCAGTGGTGGCTGTTAATGTGTTTCTCTGTCCAGGTTATGACTAGAGAAACCGTAAGTTATTTATTTATTATGGAAAAACTTCAACATTAGGGAAGCAAACCTGCAGAGATTACCATGTAACAATTCAAAAATAAAACTGGTAGATTTGCCAAATAATTATCCTAGACATATCCTAAAACTCACGTTTGTTTGGGTCCAATAATCCGGAGTGTTGTTTTCATTAGGTGATGGAAGGATCAAATCAATATTTCTTTGACTCTGCAGATACATTTCGTGTAGTTTCAGAAGACGAAATCCTTGGTATATTCTTTGTACGCAGGCACGAATTTTCTGTTAAACATATCGGATATTATTTAAAGAACGTGAAAATGCAGGACCTTCAAAGACTAGTGCTTCAGATTATCTTACTATTTTTCTATTGACTTCCATTAAAACATAAAATACTGGTAGAATATGTCATACATATTAAAGAAACTGAAAAAACGTACAAAATGTCTTCCATTGTTTCGAATAGAGGAGGAGGATGGTAACAACAATGCTTTTTAATTGAACAGTACTATTTTGTGGTATTCATTTGTAACAAATGTTACCATTTGAAACATACTTGAACTAGTGGCCGTTTTCTTAAAAATACAGAAATGACAAAACAGTTATTTGAAACAGAGACATTTATCCACCAGTTTTTTTCTAGCATATCACGCAGTAGTTCGTCATTTATTCAGTTATAATCCGAGAAAGCACATTTACGATGGCGATGGTGATATTTGACAATATTTGTTTGTACAAAATACATCAAAAACACACAAACAGCGACTATTTTAAAGAATTAAAACAGCCGAGTTTCTTAAAGATGTTATTATTGTTGTACTCTATGTTTAACAATATGCATGAAACCAAAGTGCGTGTAGGTTTAAATGTAAACGCGCGCGCGTATATGCAGAGTTTAAAATATGACAAACGTCTACAGCTTGAATTTATATGTATAAAATGTTTTGGTATATTCATATATCAATCTTTCAATGTAAAGCTTGAAGCATGGAAACGACACATCGTCAAGTTTTGATCTGTGTTCAATTCAAAATTATTTTTTTTCATCTCAAGAGTGGTACCTTAGCTATATTATCAATCACTTTTGATCAGAGTAAGCTAAGTATATTAATCAAACTAACAAGAAACTAATGAAACTAATGAAACTAATCCTACATAGCAACCTGCCTAGAAAGTATTTGATATTATAAATCAATACACAATAAAATTGAAAATTATGAGATCAATAAAAAAAGAAAATAAAACCTACCAAATCCATGCATAAGGAAATTACAGCCTACCAGACTAATACGCTATGTAAGTAAAAACCTAACAGATCAATAAACAAGAAACCTAAAACCTAACAGATCAATGAACAATGAAACTGAAACCTATGAGATCAACGAAAAATGAAGCTAAAACGTACCAGCTCAATGAACAATGAAACTAAAATCTACAAGATCAATACTTAATGAAACTAAAACCCACCAAATTAGCACGCAATGAGGCTAAAACCTATCAGATCATTGAACAATGAAACTAAAACCTACAAGATTAACGCATAATGAAACTAAAACATATCAAACCAATACACGAGAATACTCGAACCTACCAGACCTGTACACAATGACAGTAATACTTACTAAATCAATAGACAACGAAACTAAAACCTACCAGATAATACGTCATGTTTTCCGAGTAGCAACTTTAATTTATAAGACTAAACTGTGAACCACAATAAATTGATTTCTTGGTCACTTTCATTAATTAATCTGCATGGCAGTAACTAAAAAAAAAAAAACTTGACATAAAATATATTCAAATATTACCTTACTACCTGTTGTTATGTGTTCAATAATTGATAATAAAACGAAAGACTGTTTATATGTATGTTTTCTATAATTCGTTACTTTGTAGACCTCGAAACATTTTAAGCACAAATCATTTTGCTATCTTAGCAAATATAATAAAAATTTTCAATTGCATGTAGTCTTAAAAGTATTAGATTTTTTAAATTTAATAATATTTCTTTGATTACATTGGATTTTAAGAAAAATTTCAAATAGCAAATGTTTAATCCTTAACCTACTAATAAAAGTGTGTAACCGAGTGTGTTTGTTTTTGTTTGTCTCCCTGTAGCTCACCAAGGAGGGACAGAAATTGTAGGACTGTTTCTTATATTTTTATAGTTTTAAAGCACGTGACTTCAAAAACATTTTTTTTATTTCTTTATAGTTCTGACTGTTGGCATATAGCAAAAATGGTGTTTTTTTACGAATGTTAGTGTACTTTTGCATGATTTTTTTACCTTTTATAAGGTTAAGAAAGCGTCATTGTCCTTTGTTTATGTTTATTATAAATAATGATACTGTATTAATTTCCATATCAGGTAATTATTCCAATAGTTATTATTTCTTGATAAACCTTGACATTACTGAATCCATTTCCATACAGCACCTACTGCTATTACGTCAACAGTGGCGTAACTACAAAAGATTGCCCCCAGCATAAAAAGTATTTGGACCCCCTACAATTATTAAATTTGTTAGACCCTTCGCCCCTCTCCTCGAAATTGCGGGGGCATACTTACGCCACTGTATGTGAGTTATATGTTTTCAGATGGTATATTTATACATACAGATAAGGTAAATACAGATAAGTTGGTAGAGTACATATGTATGGCATTACATTTCTCTTTAATCGTTATTTATTCCTTTGTTTGAACTGCTGTCTTTTACGCTCCACGCAAAGGTTGATATTGAAAATATAAACACATTAGTAATACAGAATGTTAGTAATATTTGAAAATAAATTTTTTTTTTTCAGTCGAGATACTTTATTATAACAAATGTGTCCTATTTATACGTGTAATATTTTGGCATGCTGTGAACTATAATGATGTTTTTGATTGAGATGCATGACGATGAAACTGTGAAGAAATGAATTTCAATTACTGAAGTTTATTCAGAGTACGTAAAGTACGTTTAATGTTATAAGTATTCATAGTTTAGAATTTTCAATTTAAACATGGTTACCGGAGTGTCTTTATTCGCATTAGTTAGGTATTTTTATTGTTCTTTAAATCTTTTTTTTTTCAAGTTCTGAATTAACATTTTAAATTTTGGCTTTGCGTGTGCGATCCAAAGATATAACTGTAACTATGACACAAAAATTATTGTTCACTGAAGAATAGAATCTCATAACTTCTTTAAACTACGAATTAACCCAAGAAGTTGCCTGGAAAACTGAAACTCAGAATTCTTTTGGATTATGAAACAACTCACAAAATTACTGGAAAACTGAAACTCAAAATTCCCTTACACTATTCATGATGTCGAGGAATCCACTTGAAGTAAATAAATAGTAAAGACGGTTGATATGGGTATTTAAAAATTATTTAAATCACAAAACAAATAACATTTCGACCCGCTTAGCTCATCATTAGGTTACGAAATCATTATTAAATTCAAAAAGTGACATATAAAAATACACATTAAAAATCACAAAATTGAATGTACCACTCCTGTATGTTTGACATGTTTTACTCGGCTCTATACAACAGTTTATTTTTTGGTATAAGTTGCACGTGACTACATTTGCTCATTCGAGATGTGTAGTAATGGTTTCAAAAAGACAATTGATGATTGTAAGCCTACTTGTGTACAGATATTTTTTCCAAAACAATGTAAAGTTCCGCAGTTATTTTGGCTTTATGACACTGCTAGATATCTGAAACACCGGTTACCCTAAATATATGAAACATTATATCTTCTTCCCGCTTAGAGAAGAAGTCTGAAAACTAATTCTGGCAAAAGTCGAACGTTTTAGAAAAAAAGAGTCAGATGATTAAGTAAATCCACGACAATATATGTACTGGTTTTTTTGGTTTTTTTTAAATGATACATCATTGTCATGTATTGTTACAGTTATCATAAAGCCAATACATTCAATCTACCACTCATCGATATATACTTTACTACAACTACGTATATGTCATAGAGCTTATACATCTTAACTTGATGTATACCACACATCTACGTGTATTTTATAATACCTAATTATGACTATGATAAAGCCTATACATGCTAACTCGATCTACCACCCATCTGTATATATTCTAAAACTACATACACGTCACAAAACTTATAATATTATTTTTGTGATAGATACCTCTACTTGAGTAGATATATAAACTTTCTTAGTATCTCATCAACAAGTTAATTTAATCTTTAATTTTTGTTTTACAATATTTTCTTTAATAACCAGATATCCGAGATTTTTCTGGTTTTAATCGGATGTTAGCTTTCTAATGATGTAGATATATTCACACTATTCGATCTCAGTTCACAGTTCTTCACAAATTGTACAATAGTTTGCATCGAACGATATGCTTCTCTAACATTTGATTCTTGTCTGAAGATAAGACACATACTTTCCATAGCTTGATGTGATTAAAAGTTTGGAATAAGTCTATAAAATACTTGTTTCTGTACCGTTAAATTAATTAAAACACCACAGAAGCAAACATTAAGCAATAACACATTTTAATGACAAAAAAGCTATTGCTTTAATCAGTGTTTGGGAACGTTCCAACCCATCTAACATTATCAAACCAATTTTATATCTTACTTTTGTTTATAAGGCATGCGCAGTACCTTCTTGTGGAATTAATGATTTTTTGTCCCACAGAGACAGAGCTACCACGACCTGCTTCTTAATCACAGACTATTTAACTGTATGTCGAATTACGTCATTACTGTTGCTATAGCTTTTTAGAACAAGTAACCAATTGGAAGTTAGGAGATTCAGACTCGCTTAATCGAGCTCAGGTGTAATACTCGTGAAAGTCTCAGAGTCTCAGCACTTGATCTGAAACGTTGGTAGAGCACGTGATGCGTGTGAGGTTCTGGTTTGTTTTTGTTTTTTTTTTTACTATAGATTTTCATAGTAAACCTGGAAGATGGTATTATAACCAAACGTTATTTCGATACACATCATAAGCGGTAGGCTTGCTGATGAAGTGAGAAAAATACGTGGAAATCAAAGTACCCTGTCGTCTATTTTCTTTTACACTTTGATCAACAAAAAAGACGTCTGCATTTTGGTTAAGCTTTCTAATTACGCGAAACTTCAAGTGAGTTGCATATGGAAACCTTTCTTTCGGCCTTATGTTTTTGTTATTTGTTTGTTTGTTGTTGTTTTTTGCGTCTCTCGATCAGGCGTAATTTATGGTACTTTTTTTAAAGCATACATTTATTAAACATACGAGATAATTTACACGATTATAGTAACGACAAACAACAACCTGAGCTAATGTAAACAATAATTAAGTAAGAAAAGCGTCTAGTCAAAGTTAATTTAAGTGTATAGCGCGCGAGAACTTGTAGTTGGTCGGACTTTCATGAGTTCATACAGTTCTGTACATTGCCAGAATCAACACTCTAGTCTGGTTGACAACGACAACATGGCGACTCAGAACAGTGAGATTGAAATGGACCACCAACAAAGAAACCACAGAGCACGCACCACTGGCTATAACATTAGTCGTTGTAAGTATTGGAAACGTAGGATTAAATGTAGTAAATATTTAATTACAAATAATAGTAATATTCGAGACTATTGTTCAGCAAAGTGTTCGTTTTCGGAGTTGGTAGCATTATAAAGACCGTTGTTTAATCAAGTACATTAAATACATTGTTCAGTGTTTAGTTCTTGTCATGTATATTCAATACGGCGATTATCGATTTTAAGAAATTCAAAATATGCCGGCTTTGTGAGTTTCAGGCATCTCGAAATCTTCTATTTTTAAATTAAAATGGTTAAGAAAATTTATATGTTTATATTAAGGTGAAAATAATTCATTAATTATTTCTATTTATTTATTTCAAATAATTTGTAGATGTATAAAAAGACCACAAATTTACTGATCAAATGTTTTGGTTACAAAAAGATGTTTTATTACTAAAGTTATCTTCTTACCATAAATAGTGATAAACCTGTTTGTGAGTACAAAAGAAGAATAGCGTGAGGGATCGGTGACAAGTCTGTATAAGCGTGAGAGTATAGAAGTGGAGTAGCGTGAGAAATTAGTGACAAACCTGCTTATAAGCGAGAAAGTACAGAAGTAGAAAGAGTGTGAAAGATGAGTGATAAATCTGTGTAAAAGCGTGAGAATACAGAAGCGGGATAACATGACGAATGAGTGACAAATCTGTGTATAAGCGTGAGAGTACAGAAGCGGAGTGAGCATGAAGAATGGGTGACAAATCTGTGTATAAGCGTGAGAGTACAGAAGCGGAGTGAGCATGAAGAATGGATGACAAATCTGTGTATAAGCGTGAGAGTACAGAAGCGGAGTGAGCATGAAGAATGGGTGACAAGTCTGTGTATAAGCGTGAGAGTACAGAAGCGGAGTGAACATAAAGAATGGGTGACAAATCTGTGTATAAGGGTGAGAGTACAGAAGCGAAGTGAGTGTTAGGGTTGAGTGACAAATCTGTATATAAGCGTGAGAGTACAGAAGCGGAGTGAGCGCGAGAAATTAGTGATTCGAATAATATTATCTATAACAATTTATATAAATGGAGACCCTGGATATGAAAAGAAAACGCGTGTCGTTAACAAGGTTAATTAATAATGAATGATCTCTTACGAATGTTTTCTAGCACTTTTGTTATTTTTCGCAAGTGTAGAAAGCTATGAACAAAGTGATATGTACATTGCTGACAAAAAAAAAGGTGGCCATTTTCTTTAGTCGGGAAAAAAATTCTTGTTCATTTCACACTATAAAATTCTTTAGGCCTCCTTTTATTCTTTTAAACTTATCAATATGATTTCCTCGTCATGTTTTTGAATTACTTTGAAACGTGACTGAGAGTTTGAAATCACAAAAGGCTGAGCACATTTAATTAAAGGATTTTGTGAGTTGTAGTTCAAGTTTTGATAAATATACGCTACAAAAACTATCTTTCTTTTTCACATTTTTCCTTTTTATTTTATTACAACAGAAGCCGGCTTTATGACTTGCCACCAACGGTAGTTGAGGGTGAATACCGAACATATGTATTTATTTATATCTATATGTAAATGATACTCTTTCGAGCAATCATCGTGGCAATATGGCTACTCGAGTAAATTATTCATAAATATTATTACGTTATAAGCATGTCCATCTAATATATTTTCTAATATACATTCCTTTACACTATCTTTCAGTGAAGCGAAAATTCTTTGATGTATTTTTTATGGCTATGGGCGAAAAACTGTAGATACAAAAACATATCGTGAAAAAACCTAACTCTAATAACTCAGTGTTATTAATCAATGCACCAAAAACCAAAAGCGATGAATTTATGAAACGTCCATATAATTTTTCTAGTTTGTCTCTGTTTCTCACTACCTTGGTAAAAGAGTGTATTTATGGCTTCGCAAAGTAAAAACAATATACATGGACGTTTTTATGATTTAATAAATAAAATGAAATGAAATTCCAATTAAATTAATGTTTTTAATTTTAAAATTTAACTCCTCAATTCCTAAACTTGCCTCAATAGTAGGTAGATCAATGATATCCAAATCAACCGCTATATCTTTCAGCACTAATGATATCAAGTGGGGATCTGATATAGTATCTCAATTTTAAAATAAACCTCTTAGTTATTTTTCTTGCTCTTCACTCCAGCAATATTTTATTGTTAATTTTTGTTTAAAATTATTGATATAATCGAATACATTAGATATGGCACAATTTTTTAAAAAATATTTTGAACCTTCTATGATGTTTTGGTAAAATCAGAGCAAAATAATGACGTCACTCCAAGAACTGGACGCGACAAATAGTTGTAATCTGGATAAGTGTCAATATTTCAGTCTCCTCGTTTCGAAACGATACTGCGAAATCTCGAAATTTCTTGTGACGTATAATATAACGAGATTAAAATGTTCCGCTGAATTCTGAGATTATTAAATTTGATCCTAGTTTTAATTTTGTTAGTTTGTTTAATTTGTATTTTCAAACTGAAACGGCCACGTCAGAAATATCTAGAATTCAGGTGTAGTTGTAATACTGCCCAACAAGGAAGCAACCAAATAACAGGATTGACCATCAATTTTATGATGCATCCTCAGTAGCATCGCGGTTCGAATCTGAACCTTCTGATTCACAACTCTACCACGCTCACCAGAAAGCCACACTTAGTCCGATATGCTTAACGTTTTGTTTACTTGTTGCAAAGTACAAAACTGCACAGTGAAATATCTGTACTCTCCCAACATCAGGTATCGAAACCCACTTTTTAACGTTAGGAGTCCATTGACTTACCGCTTAGCCATTGGGTGTGGGTGGGGGCTGGTTAAACTTAATTTAACCTGAATAGTGATTTAGAGTTTGTATTAATGGTAAAAGTTTAGGTTCTGCTGAGGCGATTAGCGCTATTCGACCTTGTATTATTGACATAGGTTTAGATTCTACTGAGCCAATTAGCACTGATTTTAAAAATACAAAATACAAAGTTGTCCCCCGGTAGATTAGTGGTAAGTTTATGTGCTTACAAAGCTAAAATCCGGGGTTCATGCGCAGCCAGTCTATTAAGCAACTTAACAACAAACAAAAAAATCTTATTTTAAATATATTAAGTTTAAGCCTGTTGGGATGTGTTATGAAACCTGATTTTTGGCGTTATAAGCCCCGGACTTACAGCTGAGTTACCGGTGGTTTAAAATAAGTTTATTCTATAAAATGTAACAGGAATACAACGATAATTCACAGCAACATATGTCGATGTGAAGAAACACAAAGTCATAAATCTCGTTAGATGAATGAAAATTAAGATGATACTACTGCTCTATGAGCATACAAACCAAAGAAAGTTGTCAAAACACATCAATCCATAATAAGTGGACAAAGAAAAAATATATTCAGCTAAATCACAACTATATATATTTTAAGGTGTAAAATCGCTATTAGAAGGTGACAGTCTTCAAGAAAATGCATTTGTTTCTACAATAAATAGCTAATATCCATTCAGCCCCCAGTGGCACAGCGGTATGTCTGCGGACTTACAACGCTAGAATCCGGGTTTCGATACCCGTGGTGGGCAGAGAACAGATAGCCCATTGTGTAGCTTTGTGCTTAATTACAAAAACAAAAACAAACAATATCCATTCAAAAAGTCATTTCAAATATTAAAATTTCGATAAGTTATTATGGGAAATTTAATCATCTTTAGTCTTATATTTTAATATTTGTTTTTACTTTCCTAATAAATTATCAGGTCTATTTCTCATAACCGGGAACACTAAAAACTTAGAGGTGTTGAAGAGTTTCCATGATCAAAAACTGGACCCAGTATTTAAAACGTCAATAGAAGAACTGTCAATTATTAAAGAAAAATTCACTGTAAATATGCAAAAGGCTGGCTAATGCATTGCACATACTATATTCACTGTCTTCCAAAATAATCTCTAGAAGAAACCATAAAAGGGGAGCGAAGGGCAAGTCTGGTGTCCTGTGCAGTGTTAAGCCGTTCATATTAGGCTGATAACTGTTTACGAATATAGAGGTGTTGGGATTGCCACGGTACAAAGACCTGAAGATGATTCGATAAAAAACAATAAAGCTTTGAGAAATCAACACTGAACGACCAGCTATAGGAAAGCTGGAATAAATTATCCATTCGTTTCTACTCTCTCGTCAGTCATTTATAATTATTTATCATAAAAGGAAGTTTTACAAACCGGGTTACATTTACATCGTTCTTAAGTTAAACCATGAGACGCTGAAGTCAGTCAATGATCAGTTGAAGAAACAAAGGGATGCTAATCTAACAAGTACTAAGATGTGGTAAGACGATGTGGTATCAATCTTCAGAACTACTAAGATGTGGTAAGGCGGTGTGGTATCAATCTTTACAACTACTAAGATGTGGTAAGACGGGGTGGTATCAATCTTTACAACTACTAAGATGTGGTAAGACGGTGTTGTATCAATCTTTACAACTACTAAGATGTGGTAAGACGGGGTGGTATCAATCTTTACAACTACTAAGATGTGGTAAGACGGTGTGGTATCAATCTTTAGAACTACTAAGATGTGGTAAGACGGTGTGGTATCAATCTTTACAACTACTAAGATGTGGTAAGACTGTGTGGTATCAATCTTTACAACTACTAAGATGTGGTAAGACTGTGTGATGTCAATCCTTACAAGTAATAAGATGTGATAAAACGATATGATGCTAATCCTGAAAAGTACTAAAATTTAATTAAAACGGTATGGTGTCATGTCTGATAATATTAAGGTGCGGTAAATTGTTATGGTGTTCACCCCGACAAGTATAAGATGTGTTAAGATGGTGGGGTATTAATCCTGACATTTACTAAGATACGGTAAAATAGTATGACAATTCAACGCCCTACCCCACCCCCAACTAAAATAAGTTATTTTATAAAGTTGAATTAGTGCTGGAGAGTTCACATGTAGAATGAAAGAATACGAACCATATTTTAAAACAGCACAAAGCTCGATAATGATGAGTGTTCTTCAGGATAC